CTTTCCCTAAGTCCTTGGTGACTCCTTCCTATCCACCCTATTTTCTCTAGCCAGTAAGCACCAGACAGGAGAAGGATACAGAGAGGGTCTTCCTTCCTATCGTTGCTTGGACACTGTCTCATCCTCCCACGTTGCTTTTGAAGTCACACAGAGCTTTTGTGGGAGTTTAGTGACAATAACAGTGGATGGCAGCATGACTTCCAAGAGACTATAAGATCCATATTTCACTCCTTGAAGAAACCATGCTCTTCCGTAGCACTCATGGTGATTTGACTGCTTTCCATCTTGAGTATTTTCTCCCACGACATTTAAATGGCCTTTTCCTATCCCATCCCACCCCTGACAGGTAGATGGCAGCTACAGAGGTCCCAGCAGGCTTCCCTTTCTTCCACGGCATCCTTTAAGCGTGATCTCTTTTCTCCAGCCTCTGCAAATGACTGCCAGTTCCCCTCTCCCTGCAAAGCTAGTATTTTTAATTGGCTTTCTGTATCAAGCACATTTGTAAGCATCTTCAACCTTCATGTGCATGGCTGTTTTCCTGTGTCACATTAGTCACAGAGACAAGGTATTTCAGATGCAGCCAGATATTTCACTGGGCCATGGATAATCAGCACTCACTACTCATATTCTGGTTTTCTTTTTCTCAAGAAGCCTTTCCTTGTCTGGCCTGAAATCCATTCAAATAGCCAAACCTCCAAGCCCCTGCAGGTCCCTGTCTATCAGAGCCTCAGCAGGGCAGCAAGCATTTCATTTTCTGCCTCCCACTGAGCATAATTTCTCCTCTGAAATAAAGTTCAGCGTGGGGTTGAGGTTCTTTTTTTTTTTTTTTCCTCAGAAAAATCTTTGGTATGTTTTTCGTGACATCTCTTCCCCCGACTACATTTATCATTATCATTAGAGAGAGCACTGAGACATGTTTTGATGGCACTTGAAACCAGTGGGAGAGGAAAAATAACATCTCTGGTGCAAAATTCAAGTCTGTTTACTTCATAATCAAACTCAAGGTGGTGTGTTAAGAAATGCTTAACTAGAAACCACTGAATTTCTGGAGATTTTCGCAGCTCCTTTCATATATCTGCAAACACTCCAGACTGTCCATACTCTCCCTCTCCCCACAAGTCCCAAGCAGTCATGCCTTCCCAACAGTGCTCACAGCTCCAACTATGCAAGACCAGTCTTCTTCACTCCTCCTGGGAGCAAAGGGCTGATCTGTGGCTCTGAGCTTAAGTACAGCAGACCTTTGAGCCTTTGCTTCTGTAAGAACATGGGGCCAACTCCTCAGCTGGTGAAAGATCATCCCTTACTGCACTGAGCTGTGCAGCTGCACAGCTGTGCAAATTTTGATGCCAGCTGTGAATCTAGCTCAGCTCTAGGGCTATTCATTAAGGTCTACTGCTCATAAAATAGGCAAAGATTCCAAGTCACAACTGCTTAGAACAAAACAACTTCCTTCCAGGAACGTTCTCTGTTGGGGTCCATTTGCCTTTGGTTCCTTCCCATTCCCATTTGTTTCTCCTTGAGTACAGGGAAAGATTACCTTTTTTTTTTTTTTTTTTTTTTAAATTTCTATTTATTTCTGGAAAGAAACAGGCTTTCTTACCTGTCTAACCGTAACTGGCAGGCTGTTCGCAATATGTCAACTATGCCCTCGCTCTTCAGCTGTTTACAACAGACACTAGTTGCAATAAAACAGCCAGTCCTCCCGATGCCTGCACTAAGGGAGGGAAAAGCAGAGACAGGCAGTGGATGTGTTAGAATAGCTTTGGAACTTTCCTGTTAAATGAGTACCATTAAACCAGAAATCAGATCCCATTACCCCTTTTCTCCCTCCAACCTTTGCCAGGTGTGCGCTTGCAAATATAAAGCTGTAACTAGGAAAAGATACTAACTTCAGTGGGACAACACAATTAAGTGTGACCCGCCCACAGCAAAAGGATGGACATTGCACATATAGTACAATAGACTGTTGGGTACTGTTTGACCCGATATGTCATTGAACCGTTGAAAATAAGCAGTTAAACAGCATTTCTTAGTTAGACTTGCTTTGAATGCAACCTTTGCTTTGAGACTGTTAATCCTAATAGCTTCTTTGAAAGCTATTTTCATTCACAGGTACAGTAAAAAAACCAACAAACCCCTTGCTTAAATAATTAGAGCTAACAGCAATATGGTAAGTGTGATGCCATTTGCTGATGAGATCTGCAATCTAGTAATTCTCTGAAGTAGTGCAGGATACAACAAATTCGCTATTAAAGAAATTTCTTTGTCTTTCCTGAACACCTTTGTATCTGATTCAGTCCTTGCTTAATGACCAGAATTGATTTTATTCTCAAAGGCACAGTGCTATCAAAGCTGTAAATTCTTCTTATCACCTAATAAAAAGCTAGCAGCAAAAGCTGACAGCCCTTCTTATACGTTAAATAATTAAGTGAGCATCCTCAGGAATAATTACTTGACACAACTGCAAGAAATCCTGCTTTCATTTAAATTGCTCTAAAGTCATAATATAAAAACACTGGCAACAAATGTACAGGCAACAATGGAGTCTGCAGTTAGCTGCTGCTCATCAAGTCCTAATATTGTTTCTTTGACTATACAGACAGATTTTTCACCGGGCATTTATGCTCGTTAGGGAAACAGCTACACTGGAATTGTTTTAACTTCTATTATAGAACAATCAAGGCTTCAGTGGAAGTTCGGGGCATGGTCTTACTAAGAAGTCATCTCAGTCTTCAAATAATTGTGATGGACATACCTACCTGACTTAAAATTCGTGTCCCTAAGTACCTCATGCTCCAACTTCTATTTTCTTTACTACATCTAGTTTCAAATATTTCAGGATTTCAGAGAAGTCTTTGCTATATATGGATGTACATCAATAGTAAAAAAAAAAAAAAAAAAAAAAAAAAGGCCCTTTGTATTCCAACTTATGCCACAACCAAACAGGCCAGAGTACCCAGCTCTTGTGTACTGTTTCCCACCCATAGATCTCAAGAGTGTTTCACAAAGGCAGTGAACAACACCCATTTTTAGATAAAGCAAACAGCACTGAGACAGGACTTGTCCCAGGACAAGCTGCAGGTCTCTCAGTAGCTGAGAAAAAAGTCATAATCCTTCCAAGACTGCTGAAGAGTGGTGCATTATCCACAGAACCTTAACAGGACTGCTGGCCTGCTTTTAACATGAAGCTGCTTTTAAGAATAGGGCCACAAAATGGATCAGAGGGCTGGAGCACCTCTCCCAAGGGAAGGCTGAGAGAGTTGGGGCTGTTCAGCCTGGAGAAGAGAAGGCTCCAGGGAGACCTGACTGCAGCCTTTCAATACTTCAAGGGGGCTCATAAGAAAGATGGGGACAGAATTTTTAGTAGGTCCTGTAGGGAGAGGACGAGGGGTAACGGTTTGAAACTGAAAGGAATTATTTAACATTTTTGAAAATTTTTGAAATTTGAAATTCTGACTAGATACAAGAAAGAAATGTTTTATGATGAGGGTAGTGAAACACCAGAAGAGGTTGCCCGGAGCAGCTGTAGATGTCCCACCCCTGGAAACAAAGTCAGGTTGGATGGGGCTCTGAGCACCCTGCTCTAGTTGAAGATCTCCCTGCTTATTGCAGGGGAGTTGGACTAGATGACCTCTAAAGGTCCCTTCCAACCCAAACAACCCTATGACACTAATAGCTTCATTACTAGGTTTTATCTATTTTTTTCTTAAAAGGTGCATTATTTTACATCACTGAAGGCCAAAACCACAGTGATTATGTACTACTAAGGATCTCCCATGAAGGCCAAATGAGCTACAGCACTCAGCCTAACACAGGCCGTGGCTAACAGCTTGCTGTATATGCCACTCTCAAACAAGGTAATGTATTAAATTCCTTCTTCAGTTAAAGTGACTGTAACTGAAAGTAATCTGAAGGGGCTCTGGTCCACAGTTATCACATACAATACTTTATAATCCTATCACCATGTCTCTTAGTAGCTATTTCAAATAAAAATACCCCATTTCCCCCCCAATTATTACCGTGTCATGGGGATGACACCATACGAGAGGACAAAACAAGTATACAAAGCAAGAGTGACATGGTGACCAGAATCTTTACCTGCAGCAAATACCATAATACTTCAAGGAGCTCTTAGAGAGTCACAGATTTCCAAGGACAAAGGGGACCTTCTTACAAACCATTTGTTATTTTTCTCTGAGCTCTCCCCAATTTGTCAAAATCTGTTTTAAAACACAGGCAGAAAAACTGGACATGTGGCATCATATGAACATTTTACTAGTGATTACTCCATATTAGCTTATAGGCGGATCTCTGATGACCCTGGGCTACCAACCATTCATGCCCAGACTCTCTTAAAAAACATTCCCATTGTATGATAACACCCCATTTACTATGGCTTCTGGATAGCAATCATCTGCCATTTCCTAGAAAATGTTATGCAAAACTAGGTAAAATTCCTTACAAAAATCCCAAAGATCAATTTGGCAAAATGTATTTTACTGAAATTATGGAAGATTACCCTGGCAATTTGACTGCATCACTTATCAGGCTTTCTGCTATTTACCTGGAATAATTGTTTTGAGAACTGACTTGTAGTTTACAAGCAATCACATTTAACCTTCCTAAACACTGGCAAAACAGGACTTGCTTTCAGACCTCTGGAACTTCTCATATTTTTCAAGAACTAGAACTCAGCTATACTAAACTTAAACAGGCTAGAGCCTGCGGACCAATTTTTTTAAACAGTCTTGGGTGAAAATCATCCAGTATAGCTGATTTAATAATGGTTAGTAGTTATTGCTTAACACATTCCCTAGTTAGCAGTGCAAAAGAACATACTTCATCATGTCTACAAGTGAAAAGTACAGCATCCTACTTCCTTCTGAAGACAGAAGAGAAGTATCTCTCTTCATCTATTTTTTCTGCTCTGTGATTGATAATTGCAATTTTCTCATCAGGCTTCAAACCACTGTAAGGATTTTGCTTCTTCCATATAAGAAGTTTTCATCTTTGCTGAGGGCTTTTCACAGGTATTTCAGTTTTACTATCAATTGGATACATTTCCTGTCTGTTGATTAGTACTTGCTGCAGTCAGCTTTGCCACTGTTCATTTGTTTTATGTATTACAGTTAAATTATTGTCTTTGGCCTAAAAAGCATTTTTAAGACCAAAGAAGTAATCTACAAAACAGAGGGTTTCGAGGCTTAAATTTGAATGCTCTCATCTTCCTGCCTTCTTGTGTCTTCCTAACTCAATTTCACTCACAGTACATTAATCTTTGGTAACCTGGCCTTTTTAAGCTCATTAAAGGCATATATTCCTAGTAAGGCAAATAAAATGAGACTGTTCTTACTTCTAAATGAGCCACAAACAGCTTCTGTGTTCAGCTCAGTCTGCATCTGAATGCAACACTTGGTGACAGAAAATTATTGTCATTAAATTTTAGAAGTTCCAAGCATATTTCAGAAGCAGTTGGGCAAGATCTCCCCCATGTCCAGCTGACGGCCAATATGACAGTATCTGCACTATGCCACTGTATACGAAGAAGCCCTTAGAAGTGAGATACAACTTTATTTACCTGCAGTGAACAATTACTGGGGCATTCTTCTCTTCTGCACTCTGCATTGCCTCTTCCACTTCCAGTACTAGCTGTAACAGAGGGGGAGCTTGATCTGGTGTCTTCTGGTCTGGCCAAGATGTGTACCAGTAATGTTTCAGGTTTCTGACTTCTTCTCCTTTCTGCAATCCAGTTAAGACAAACACCACAGAGTTTTAAAATAATTTCTGGCTGTAAATTGCTATTGAAACCTGGCCTTCCCTTTAAGAATGAGATGAGTAAATCAATGCTAAATGGAACAAGATATCCAAATGGCAAGCCACACAAATCTGGATTTCCAATACAATATCTGTACTTCAGTAAACTGCCCTAAAAAAAAAAATAATCCCACCCCCCAACCACCCCCCAAAGTACGCTGCTCTTCTAGTGCCAAGAGCTGTGTGCAAAACACTCCAGGCAGTCTGTTCCCTCTTGACAGATTCATTCAGCAAAGCCAGAGCTGTGCTTGTGACATAATTGCTTTCATAATGTATTTGACAGACAGATAGCCAGGAGCCATATCTCTGTCTCTGATAGCTAGATAGATAGATGAGGGAGAGAGATGGGAGCTTATTTTTCTATCTGTTCTGGCAGACAGACTCATATCAGTTTCCTGTCAATTCTACTCTTCTCTTAGACATGGTGAGAAATTCAGAGACACTACGGAAGGTGGGAATTGTATCTAGCTGCAGTCCAGGGCTTTTTGAGACATAAATTCCAATTCTCTCTATGTCTCAGCATGGCTATGAATATAGCAAATGTGCCGTTACCTTTTCTGAGTGCCAAGTAGCACTGCGTGCTTCTGATTTTGTGTGTTCAAAGTGACATCCTTCTGCCTGATTTCTAAAGGTGCCAAATAGTAACATGGAGCTCAGGGAACCTTTCAGCCATTACATAAGCCAGCTGGCATAGGGCTAAGCAAATGCCTTCAAAAGGTCCGGGAACAGAAGCGTTAGCTTCTACAACCTTCCCTTGAACACATGGCTGGCTGAATTTAAGAGGGGAGGAAAAAGAAAACAAATGTGTCTCTAAAGAACCAGGCACAAAAATCTGGAAATAGTTTCTGTCATCTATACTCTTAAGTCCCTATGACTGTTAGTCGCTGGATGTTAAAAGTGCTCTGTGGTTGTACCACTTTCCACCCTTCTCTTTGGTTGACAAAGTTTTTGCATAGCTTCCCAGTGAACTAGACTGGGGAAGTAATCTAGTTAAGTCTGTTTTTCTTTCTCATGCTGGATTAATTTTCAGATGGATTGATCAGTTTCACCCTTTGGCTTACCACACAGTCACATGAACGCCTGTGTGGGCACATGGGAGACGGCATGAGAAGGGTAGGAACAAGAGAGCTGGACAAAAGCAGACTGGGCTTCGTTTGGTTGTTGATCCAGCTTATACTGGGTTCTAAGTGCTGACTGAAGCACAGCCATAGGAACCTTAAGGGTACATCTAGCTCAGTTTAGGAAAATAGAGTCATACTATTGCAGCACAGAGCCTGGCTTTAGCTTATTTACCCTAGTGAGAAGACATTCTGGTTAAGAGAGCATAACTAGTTGTCATGAATAGTACTTGAGCTCACTACAGTAAATCTGATCAAATTTCAAAGCTGCTCTGAAACATGAACATACAGCACTGTTTTTGAATGTGTGACTATGTGTGAGCCACGTAAGTTATGAACACTGGATTCCTAAGTGGGTTGTGAAAAATTATAATAAATATGTTGACAATAATACTGAGAGAAAAGTAAAAGATAAAAGTAATCTGAAGAAAAACAGGAATCGCTACATGAAGTCACTCATTTGACAGAAACAGAAAAGAGCCAAAGTTCTAATGATGAACTCTGGACATCTTTAGTTTTGTCTATGCTGTTACCAGTTTTACGCTTCTGCTTAGAGAACCCTGACTTCTGTGGTTCTGTACGCTTCTGCTTTGACTTTAACAAATATTCTCTGTTGGTTGAGACTGAGGGGAACACCTAGTAGGAAATAAAGATGTAATTGATGGTTTGAAGTCTACCATCATGTATGCTGTAGCTGAGGCTGCAATCATGAATCAGTGGCTAGACACTGGCAGGTTCCTTTGAGAAAGGAAAACAAGCCTTGCCCTATTGCCTGAGCATTTTCTAAATTCCTAAAGCTTGCCAAATCCAGCCCATTATTCTGAGAAAAGTATGACAGCCCACCCAGTAGCACATGCAGTAATCATATATTGCTGGTGGTGGTATCATATATTTCAGACCACTCTTGTTTAAGGGAAAACAGGAGTCAATTCATGGCTTCTCTAGTTTTCACTACAAAGTCATTTAACATATGTATGGTCTGGAGCTGCTACTCCATGATTGCTACTGAATGACAAATGTACAGCTCTAGGCAATGGTAACCTAACAAACAGAATCTTTATTTCAGCTCTAGAACTCAGCCGTTCACCTTCTGACATTTTGGGGGTGAGAGGAAAGAGATACTGCCTCACTAGTACTGAAAACAAAAGCATTGTTTAACTGAAAAACAAACTGGGGGGAGTTTAAAGAAAAGAATCAAAAAGATCAAGTCATTTGAGTAGGGAAGGAACTACATCCTTGGAGATGTATATGTCCAGTAAAGGCTTTCATATTATTTGTGATAGGAAAGCACTTGTCTTTCTTAGCTATGACTGGGGAAAATGTGTAGTATCTGTACTTCTTTCCTTATGACTTTGCTGTACTCTGCTGATATTGTTTTTCTTTCTGTTAGTGCCTGAACACACTGGATATGCCAGCCCTGACAAATAATCTGTCTTTCAGTTTGCTGGTAGTGTTCTGGGGTTTTTGTTTTTTTTTTTTCTCCCTGTGGGATCCACAGTTATATATACAGAAAAGATATATTCATACCTGACTCTAAATTCTGAAGCTCCTTCTCTAATAGGGAGAGCTTCACCTAAAGAAGAACTGAGCAGGGATAACAGAATTTGGGAAAACACTGAGAGGTTGCTGTTGGAAAAAAAGATTCCACAGGGATGAGTATTAGCTTGAAAGGTACTTGTGAGATGGGAGTATGGCTTATTACACTTGAATTGTTGTATATAAGCTCTTCAGGACTGTTTCTTTGTTTTGTGCAACACCTGTTAAAGTGAGATTGTTTTTTGGATATGCTACTGCAATACTGACAGTAAAAGCCACTCCCTGACAATTCCCATCTGAAAATGGAACTGGCCACTACTACCTTCCTGAGAAGAATTTGAATGATCCTTTCCCACAGAGAATGAAATTTCCTTCCAGAATTATAGAGGGTAGGTAGTTTTTTGTTTGTTGAGGTGGGGGGCAGGGGAGGGGAGGAAAGGGGCAGGGAAGAACATTTAAATCTAAACCTCTAAAGTTAATGTCAAGCTGAAAAAAACCTGCAATCTTCACTAATATTAAAATGCTGTATTTAGCAATTTAAAACAATTATGAAAAGCTCTTCTGGCAGACAGTGTAGTTTTTTTACAGAGGAAATTTTGTTTTGTCACCATAACTAAGTAGTAACTGGTTCTGTTAGCTTATCAGCATTCCAGCAGAATTAATGTGATTTATTCTTGCTGCTGCACTCTAGTGTTTTGGATAAATTGTCTGTAAGACCTCTGCAAGTCTGCAACGTACTTGTAAATATTCTTTACTTCCCACTTGTCAGGGAGTGTGATTTTCTCCTTGCTGCCTTTGCCAAAAGCATGAGTGACAGACTTTCCACACTTTCAATCCAGACGTGGGATTTCATATGCTGGCTTTCTGCCTATTAGCATATGGCTGCAGAAACTTGAAACTGGTTAGATAAAAGGAGATTTTTTTCCTGCTTGGAAAGAAGTTGTGGTGTTATACTGAGGTCAGGGGTAGATCTGGCAGATGAAAGATGTATAAAGTTTATGTAAATAGACTGTTCTTATTAAAACATGTAGCTTGAGATTCTAGAACCTAGCAATGAAAACAGTTGTAAAATAGGGCTCTGGTGCTTTAGACTAAGTAGCATCTAAGTACTTAAAAAATTAAACCTCTGTTTAAACTCTCCATCCACAAGATGACAGAATGGTTACTGGTATGTAAAACTACATATACAGTTACTTGGAAAGATACTAATATTTAGAAATGTAAGCATGGAGAATGCTGTGGTGAGTGTTTTTAAAGGTCATCAACAGTTTTAGTATCTTGGAGTGGAATGATCCCTTAAAAGCATCTTCAAAGGCAAGTTAGCCAAATGGCTCAAAGAATAAATCAGCATGGTACCTATTGAAAGGGGTTCACCCATGGTGAAGAGAAGTGGTGCTACCACACTGACAAGTGCCAAGCAGACCAATAAGTCCCACTGCTGAGAAACTGAAAACAGGTAAGCAAAATTAAAAAGCCTTTTGCTCAGTTCTCGACTCCCCCACTTAGTAGCGCAAGACATCTTAGGTATAAACAGCTGGTGGGTATCCAGCAGTCTGACAGCATCCTAATTATGATCATAAAAAGACAGGAAGCACAACCTATATATTTCTTAGAGGTCTTCCTGTACTACAAAATGTGTAAGATGCCATAAAGGTAAAACTTCCCTGTTAGTAACCCTGTGCCTAATTCCATGGCCCAAAGAGTAAACAAGCCTTTGAATTCTACAGAACACCATCACAGAATTTAGCGGGTTATTCCACAAGTGGTGTGTGTATGACTTGCAAAAGCTGATAAGCTATCTGTGAGCTAACATGTCACTCTAAATGATCAGTCAACACAGAATACATAGGCACAGAACGAGTCACTGCTTTCTTCCACTGAGTGAACCCCGTACTATTACAATTGGCCTGGTAGCTTTCAGATTGTACATATGCAGTCTAAATCTCTGAATACTTATTTTACTGTAGTTTCTGTGTGTTGGTGAACCAGGCAAAGCTATTATGACTTCAGCAATGAAAAGTGATATTTGCACAGCAGCACACTGTGCAGAAGATTTCTACACAACTCTCCATGAACATCTCTGTTTAAGGGTTAGGACAGTTAAATTACAGTAAGTACATTAGAATGATTTACCTTTAGGGTGATGAGCCTTAAACGGTAATCGTCTGCTTGTATGACTCTGTTAACTGTGATTTCTATTCCTTCATAGGTGACCTGTTCCTCTGGCCAATATTCTGTGCATTTCTGTGTGCAATATAAAATAAATCTAGTTAAGCAGGTATTCAAGGGAGGTTCATTTTTACTCCTCTGAAGTTGGATATAGCACATACGTAGATGAATATGAATTAATGTTGTTTCTATAATAAGTAGAAGTTTTCACTTTCTAACAGGGACCACATTTCAGGTGCTTTTTGCTGCATTCATAATAGCCTGATTGCATGATTAAAAATGCACAGATCTAGTCATGACTAACCAATGCTTTTAAATACACGCATCCTTATTTATCTTTATGCAACTGATGTGCATTTTGAAGGTTCATTAGAAAGGCCAGTGACCACATGCCTGTGTTTTTAGATTAATCCTTTTCTTAAGATAATAATGATTAGTATAACATACACTAGTTACCAATATTTCTGTGGTGTGTATACACTGATATGGAAACACAAAAGACATTTTTTCTATTTTTTATATTCAGAGAGCTTTGACCCTTTGGAGGATGACCATTTGCATAGGTTTTTGTACAAAAGAACATGACTGGGGATGTTTTGGGAATTAGATTATATAGCAAAATCCACTTTAAATGGACACTAAAGGAACTAAAAGGAAGCAATAGCTTTGAGAGCTATTAGACTACCACATTTGATTTTGCCAAAAAACAGTCAGAGATGCAGCCAGCGCAACCTGACAGCTAGAGGAGGAGAAACTATAGTCCATTTGCAAATCTACATTGTGGTACTGATACACTAGACATGAGTAGGTGAGAATTTGTAAGCACTCTTATCCTAGAAGGAGGACTGAAAAAGACTGTGTTTTTTGGTATGCAGTTTCTTTTAAAACTAATAAATATGCAAAGGAAGAGACAAGCACTTCAACAGCATGCATGAACTAGTTCATGGACAAGGAATGACATGAACAAGGCAGGGCCTGAGAAAAAGTCTCCCTTGTGATAATGGAAGAAGCAATCTTGCTATGACAGGAGAATAAGAATCTGCTATTAGACAAGCCCAGTTAAAGATGACGCCTGTAAGCTTCCTCTTTTACATAGCTGTACACAGTCTTGAAGAAAGCAAGTTAAATTGTCTTGCTCTCCCCCACCAAAAATAATTTCACTTCAGGAGAAAGATTAACAGCAGAAAAGTATCTTGCAAAGTTACTGAGTCAAATTTTTTGTGTGGGAGAATCAGTGTTGTTCCATCTGCATAGTGCATCAGCTAATAACCCACTGGGAATGCAGCCCACTGTGTCTCTGTAAAATTGTTTACGCAGATTGCATTTTTTCTTCCTCTCCTCTTAAACTGCAGAATCCATTGTAAAAATTGTCAAGAGCGCTAGCACCTATCAATAGCACAGACGTTGCTCTGCTTAAAGGAGTGGAGTAAGATTGCCCACTCATTTCTGTGGGCTGTCTGTCAGTTCAGATTAGATGTGACAGAGGGCTGAGATACAGAGCTTTTAATACTCACATTAGCAAAGTCATTGCACAGAGGAGGAACACAAAGCCTCTCTTACTAGCATCATTGCCAAACAAAGGTTTTGGTTTTGAATCTACGTACTTCTGAGTCCCGTTATTCATATATTAATATATATGTTACGGAAGAAAGAGAATGAATATAGGAGACATTTACATGAAAGGACTTACCCTATATTTATGGCTGAGATTCCTGACACCGTTTAATTTTTGACACAAAAGGTATCAGAAAAGGCTCAGCAGCTCTGTTATGCTCTATAGGCTGTAGCAAGCTCCAGTTATATAGTGCATCAGCACTGCAGTGCACTGCTTCCAAGACTGATATGATGGGTGAAATACTCGGTCAGTGTGGATAAGAGGAAACTCAGATGTAAAGGTTAATTTACATTCCTGTTATACTAGCTTGCTATGAAATTAGCAAGTGGAAGAAGTTATCACCGGGTATGTCATTCAGGACCAATATTTCCTCTGCATCATCTTTAAACCTCAAAGTCCTTAAATGATTCTGATATACTGTGTGATGACACTTTAACACCTTATTTGCCATAAACTGGCAACTCTGATCAACGAGCAAGTGTTGCCTCTCAGATAGAGGCAGATGTGGCCTTAAAATGTTAGTGCAAACAAAACATTTAGATCAGCAACATACTGTACTTTCCATCAGCGATACCTTGACAGTATGCATCCAATCAGCTGTCTGTAATAACTGACCATTTTAAACTTGCAAAGCATAATAATTCTGTGTCTGTCTTGATGACATCTTTTTTCACTAAAATCCAAGGTTAAATTTACCTAATTCACAACTAGGGAAAACTAAAGGTTTGTGCACATGCATAATTATGGGCACTAAGCTTCCCGCTAGCAGTTAAGCCATTGTGATTGTGTGTATGATGGAGGTATGCCTATATTCTTGGGCTTCTAAGTGTCTAAAGCCTCTTCTCCAAAGGAAATTCTCTCACCTAAATTACTAATGGGTTCTCAGGGACAAGCTTTGAAAAATACTACTGCTGCAGCTTAAGAAACACCATGTGGATCTCTCTACTACACTTTGCTGCCAGTGATGACGAAGGACGCAGAGCTCAACACATGCCCAGACCACTTTCTCGCATCTTACACTGCCAATAAAGGCAGACCTAAGTTCAGCTACCTGTCTGTGAGCTGAAGCCCAGGCATACAGTTCTTGCAAGTCTGCTATGGGGCAAGTATCTCAGCAGGTAAGTAATGAACAGCTGGAGGGTAGCAGTATTTTAAACTGCAAACAAAAATCATGTTAGGTGGATTAGCAGAAACAGCATGACAGTTTAATTTCTGGAAGTAGGTGATGAATAGAAAATTCCAGCATCTTAATTTCAATTTTTCAAAAGCATTTCCTAGACACATTCAGGGGAAGGTCCTCCATATCCAAGTCAGCTTTAGTTGTTGATTATTGTAACTAGCATCTTTTGTAAGCCAGGGGCAGCCTCAATGAAATATGGATATAGACACTGAATCATAATAAACGCAAGATAAAGCAGCACCAACTCACATCTGTTGATTAAAGGTATTCAACCTTAGTAGTTATGGGGTATTATTGGTTTTGATTACCTTCGAGAGAACTTGAAAGAGTCTGCAAATAGAGCTGTGTTCGGAGAGGTTTCAGGTCAGCTGGGAGAGGAAAAATGGCAAAACCAGCAGCAGGCTAAGTCAGACAGCAAAACAAGACTTACAGTAAACTGAACTGAAAGAGAAGCCCACGCCTTCTCTGAGCCTGAAGAATTCAATGCTGGCTCCGATTGATCAGGCCACTGAACCAACTTCTGTTTGCTGGCTTAGCATCTATACCAAAAACACCTGCTAGAGTACAGATAAAAATACAGACTATATGTAACACCATTACCTCATTCATCTCTTCTATATTGGTAATCATGACAATGATGGGAGAACGCTCCTGCCACACCATTCTCCAGAAATCACTGACAGTATTAACTATCGGTCCCTGAGTAGCAATATATACCTTTTCCTCTCCTCCATAGCCCTGCCAACAAAACAACAAGAGATCAATCTTAACAGGGATGATCACCACAACCTTGAAGGTTCAGTCTTTAAAACAGAGAGCTGCCACTAGTTGGAATGGTGACTCCACGGCATTGGTTCTTCCCCTCTCTCTCTCTCCTGCACATATGTACATGGAGCAAAGGCACAACATGGACTCAGTTAATTCCAGCAATGAGTGTCCAACAGTCACCTTGAGGTGACTCTGGCTAGGTCAAGGGCCTTATTCAAGCTTGTTATGCAGTGCTTTGGTCAGGCCAGCTGACAAGCAATTTATATCAAAAAGTGCAGAAGTGTGTTTTGTCTGGTCTGAACCTGTACAGTTGCACTTTGAGATTTGTTTTTCAGTTAATATAGGCAGGAGAGAAGAGCAATCAGTTCAGCTAGGATGCCTTTAAAAGCCAGTGGATGTTGCAAATCCGTTTACATTAACAGTGGCTGATAGAGGCTAGGCAGATACATTGGACTATTGAGCTCTTACCCTGATGTAGTTAGCATTGATGTAAGAGCTAAGGGGATCGTCCTGATCAGCTGAGGTAAGGCACACTCTGCTGTGAGGATCTGCAAAGCATAAAGAGATAAGTAATACTTTATCAGTTACTCAGAGGAGAGAAAGAGAGACACAAGATTATTTTGTACGGCGAAAGATTTACATGCATTCATGGCCGTCACAACAGACGCGAGTGGCCTCTGAGAGCTCCCATGTTAAAATGTTACCATAAAAAAGGGAAAGGGTGGTTGGGGTAATTTGGTGGCTTCTGACAGTTTTACCCACTCTCTGAAGCCTGCTTAATTGTTCCTGCTGCAGAGTCAGTGTCCCAGAGTGACTCTGGATAAGCAGTGTTCTGGTCCAGGAAATTATTTCTCAATTTGTTAGGTCAACAGACTCATTCTGGCTTGTAAGACATGAAAATATTGCTTGTGAAATGACAGCAAGCAGCTTTTCTCCCAAACCATAAACACACATTCCTTGCACACAGGCAAGCCAGATAACAATAACTCTTCCCCTGTTTTGGCTTGCCGTGAACTAAACTCCAAAATGTGCTACTAACAAATATAATGGTTAAAGAGAAATTAAAGAATATTAACAGTCTCTTGTACTTTGGATAAGTCTCTTCAGTACTTGAGTCTCCCTCACTGGAGCTGTTTATGAAGCATTATTCTTGTTTTAACAAAAAGACAAATGAAAAATTATTCCACCTGAGAAGTTCACTCCAATTCCCACTGAAGTCAATGGGAGCTGTTCCACTGATTTTAATGAGAGCTGACACGCCCACGTTCATCCACTTCCACTAGCACTACACAGTTTGTTATCATTGACAAGAAACATTCTCCTGACAGAGGCCTCAGCAAACAGCAACACCGTGTATCACCAGGAGAATATTAAAAACAAACCACAGATGACTTCTTCATAAAAATATCCAGCCTGCTCAGAAACAAAATAAAAAAATATGCAAAAACAGTAGTGTGATATTGTACACAAACAACAAACACAGACTCAGCATGAAATGCTGTCCTCAGAACGGATTCATGTTACCCATTATCTGATAATATAATCACAATCTGCAAAGCAAAGATATTAACAAAGATACTGTTTTATAGCACAGAAGTACTGAAATCAGCGAATTCCTCTCTAATACAGTTCCCTCCTGCTCAACTTTGCTCATCTCTGTAGTGCTGGGGATATGGTGAGACAAGAGATAAAAGCTCCTTTCAATCAGTTATTTTGATAGTCTGCAACATGTCACACCATTACAAAGGTGGTACTGGTTGCCAGATGTTTGTTCAAATGTCCCTGGACTAGATAGGCCCTTTGCCTGGGTTTTATGCAGTCACCCATGGAGTCTGCTGAAGTTTGAGTAATGATTGCATGATTTTTCCCTACTAATAATAGCAATAATAGTATGCTGTCCATCTCATGGTGGGTCTTTAGGGAGAAATAAAATGGATATGAAAAATTCTATCAACTGGTGCCACAAACTTTTAAGTACAGGCTTCTTTTAGTATTCTTCAACTACAGCAGAATTTGACTTACTTTTCACCATGGACTTTTTTACTGCTGTATCCACAAATATTTAAACATTATTCAGAATATGCTTTTACTTTAAATTATAATGCTTGGCATGTGATTTTTCTGTTGATGTAGTATTTACATTTGGTAAGGTAGTACGTTAGTGAACAGTTTCAACCTTAATTCATATAAGAGAGGCTTATTAATGCATTGTTAATACAAAAATGTGCACTGTTTTGCAGGAAGTGTAACCGAAGCTGAATTGCATCTCTTAGAAATATATGAACAGGAATAACTCCTCCTTTAAAAAAAAAAAACAAAAACACAACCACCAAACAACCAAGACTTAATATAAGAGTTTGCACTACAAATTTGAAATTTTCAAGAGAGGCATTTAAGCAAAATCAAATCCTACTCTTAATGAAAACATTTCTCCCAGGACAAAACCAATACACAGGCCAGGTTCAAGAAGGCACCACGCCTTTAAAAAAGCAGTAGTAGTCTGTATCTTTAAGAAACCAAATTATATGTCAACTATTTTTTCCACAGTTTCTTTTATGGCCATTTCACGTCAATACTATGTTTGACATTTTAGAGGAACTTGCTAAACTTAACTGAAAGGTTCTGCATAATTTAAAATGTTGTAAAAGCAATAGACAATAGAACTATGTAGAAATGTAACAAGTCTGTCTAGACATTACTCTTGAGAAAAGATTTCAATGAGATTGATATACAACATGCTCCACAAGTTCTTGCCATCTCTGGAATTCTGTAACAAGCATATAATTTTCTATATATTCAAAAAATGCCTCCAAACATCCTAGAGAAAAGCTATCATTTTCCAGGAAATGCCACAGGACTCAGCCCCAGAAAAGGACTGTCTGTAAACAAACAAATTAATAATTATGGAATATCCAAATCAACCTCCTCAGCTTGACATTTTCCCAAAAACGCCCTTCTGCCATCAAAAAGCCACCTTCTAAGCCATTTTACTACTAACAGCAAAACTGGAGAATCTGCAAAAAGCATTTACTACAAAAGAAATATAAATGAGATTAATTACAGACTATTATCCTGTCTCTCACTTACTACAATCAGCTCTAGGGTTGCAAAAGTAACTGATCATTATTTTAAGTGACTGCTTACCTTTTAATGATAACTGCCTAGATTGCTTCTGGCGATGCAGCTGGTAAGGGAATTTTAGTTACTTTTTAAATTCAGATTTGGGGTTTGACTCTATTTTGGTAATTAAGCATTTGCTGTTCCCTATGATAATCAGTAGTCTGAGTTTGCTCTACTGCAGCTTGTTCAGCAGTTCCTGCCATTATTGCTTTCTGCAGCTAGGACTTGGAGGAATGGTAGGTAGATACTCAAGACAGCATAGGCTACATTTGGTCAGTTCAGAAACAAAAAAAGTCAGTGGATGGTCAAAGCGTGAAAAGCACTGGACTCTCCCTTATCTTGCCTCTGGTTTCCTCTCCTACTTTGTGTGTGGATAGCTTACTGGGATCCTTGGCTTTGAAGCATAAAGGGAATGTTCAGCTCTTCTTGCTAGCCTCTCTGCTGCCTCCATCAAACCCTTTGAAATGGAGGTAGTTGGATAAAAGTGAAGAGTCAGCCCTCTTCTTTCCTCAGCAATATCAAGCCATCCTTTGGTCACAGCCGGGGACAAAGTTGCACAGAGGTTACTAGTTTGAGAATTCATTCAGAAAAAATATCCAGATCATAATGAGCTTGGAATAAGCTTGTTAATCCTTGGAGGCATAGAATTGTAGGATCATTTAGATTGGAGAAGACCTTTAAGATCATCAAGTCCAACCATTAACCTAACACTGTGAAGTCCACCACTAAAGCATGTCTTTAAGCACCATGTCTACATCTTTTAAATACCTCCAGGGTTGGCGACTCCACCACTTCCCTGGGCAGACTGTTCCAAAGCTTAACTACCCTTTCTGTGAAGAAATTTTTCCTAATATTCAATCTAAACTTTCCCTCACACAACTTGAGGCCATTTCCTCTCATTCTATTGCTTGTTACGAAGTCCACCACTAAAGCATGTCTTTAAGCACCATGTCTACATCTTTTAAATACCTCCAGGGTTGGCGACTCCACCACTTCCCTGGGCAGACTGTTCCAAAGCTTAACTACCCTTTCTGTGAAGAAATTTTTCCTAATATTCAATCTAAACTTTCCCTCACACAACTTGAGGCCATTTCCTCTCATTCTATTGCTTGTTACTTGGGAGAAGAGACTGACACCCACCTCACTACTCCTTTCAGGTAGCTGTAGAGAGCAGTAAGGTCTCCCTTCAGCCTCCTCTTCTCCAGACTAAACAACCCCAATTCCCTCAGCCGCTCCTCATAGGACTTGTGCTCCAGACCCTTCACCAGCTTTGTTGCCCTTCTCTGGACATGCTCCAGCACCTCAATATCCTTCTTGTAGTGAGGGGCCCAAAACTGAACACAGTATTTGAGGCACAGCCTCACCAGTGCCAGGTACAGGGGGACAATCACTTCCTTGCTCCTGCTAGCCGCACTATTTCTGATACAAGCCAGGGTACTATTGGCCTTCTTGGCCACCTGGGCACACTGCTGGCTCATACTCAGCCAACTGTTGACCAATCCCCCCAGGTCCTTTTCTTGCAGCCACTCTTCCCTAGCCTGTAGCGTTGCATGGGGTTGTTGTGACCCAAGTGCAGGACCTGGCTCTTGGCCTTGTTGAACCTCATACAATTGGCCTTGGCCCATCAATCCAGCCTGTCCAGATCCCTCTGTAGAGCCTTTCAACCCTTAAGCAGATCAACACTCCCACCCAGCTTGGTGTCAACTGCATGGCAAAGTAGAAATTAGTTCTCTTCTCTGGAGAGGTCAAAGCAACAATGATGGCTGCTAGCAGATACCCATATGGATGAGTTGAAGTTTGCAGCAAATAATAAACCCATTGAGTGATCATTCTTAAAAATATATGGCACTGAGCCAATTGGCATCTGTTTACAACTCTGAAACAGGGTGTTCAAAATGGCAGCAATTCTGATGTTTCAGTTTAAACATCCAATACGAGATCCAGTTCTCAAAGTACACATTAGATACCAAATTCAGAATATATACATGACTTTAAAATCTAGCAGTTTGGGCACCTGAAATCACTACCTACTTTTGCAATCTTCCCTTTCCAGCAAAAACAGTGAACTAATACTTGAACAATTCACCTCGGTCATTAGCACAGAAATTGTGAAACATGGCTGAAAGTTTTTACGTTTCTGGTCTAAGGTGGAGTACCGAGTAATCAGAAGGGTTGCACACATTGGATCACTGGCTGCAGCTGCTGGAGTTGTAAGTCTAGATAAAAAAAATCTCTTCTGGAATCATTTCCAATGCAGGTTCATTGACTAAAATGATAGGTATAGCTGAGGACATTTTTGACTTCTTTGCACTTATCTTTGCCAACCTGACATTGAACCTTTTGGGCTTTGCAAATAGAGCTACTGTGGCTATTGGTGGCATCTTCCAACAATGGCTTCGAGCAAAAAAGAGGCACTGCATCTAATTATATCACTTTTCAAAATAACTTTAAGTATGACACAGGGGAAAATGATGACACTTGTAAAAATTTGTATCAAAATATTTCTCAAAACTCCTACTTGTGGCTACAAATAAAAACAGTGTAATAGAAAAGAAAAAGATTTTGATTTTCTATATCATCTTAATTCTATCAGGCCAGCTCCCAATATTCACAGTTTGCATTTGAGGCATGATTCTGAAAAAAAACATCAGTTGGGAAAATAACATTGCTAGAATTTAGTCTTTCTAGAGAGTTTAATCAAAGAAACCACTAAGTAACATCTGAATAAACACACCGAGTTCTTGCGTAGAATTTTTAAGCAGCACCAAAAGATACAATTCTAATGACTTAAAAACCTAAGTGCTGCTGATGTTCAGTGTATCTTAGGTTCTTCATGCTCTGTACCTCTTTTGAAATTTGATTTATGCTTTGAAGCCATGTTGCTGCTTCATAAATATGGCTTTTGGACAACACACGGTAGTAACAGCACACTTGATGCATTCTGGAAAGGAAAGTGCAAAGGCCTTCAGCATGTGGAATAAACCACTCTGCCTTTGTGATTTCAAAAGCAGGAAACTTACTTGGGAGAATTGTTTTGTAGCGATTCTTACGCACTAAGCCTGGAATATCATATTCCTTTGGATCCACAAAGTTCATTGGAATTTCCTGTTAAAGAAAAAAAAAAATAAACCACAAAACACAGTAGGTAGTATTATTAGATTCACAAGAGGAATAAAAAACCCAAGCCCATTACGTCCTGCCTGTGAGGGAGGCAAAGCGATGAAGTCAACTGAGACATATGGTACAGTACTTCTAGCAATTTACCACCAAAATATGATTGATGTTTCCTTTTACTGTCACTGATTTTCTTTTCTGAAATCCTTATTATGAAAACGCTCATAGTGACTAATTCATTGAGTAATACACGCGACGGCATTATGTTAGCTCCTAATATTATTAGAACTGAGTTGCAAGTGTAGGCACAGAACTAAGCAAAAGGTGGTACGTAAGATACTCTGCTCCAAAAGTGACGGACCTCAGACACCATCCTTTCTGACTCACGCTCCTTCTTCCTCTCTGAGGGTGGAAGGAAATAATTTGCTAGTGACTCTCACCAGCAACAAATTATGACCTACATTATGACAGGTTGGCATACTTGACCTGACTCCATATGGAGCTGGAGGACTGTCACTCTTTTTGCCTATCACACTTTAAAGCTCCATGGGCAAGGACAGCAAACAAGTGTTCAGGGATTACCTGCTCTCTATGCCACTGACCCAAAGGACACACAGAAATGGAGGGGCTTCTTATTCTCTACTACTCATGTCCTGCACGTAAATGGCCAATGCCAGGCAGGAACAAACAGGAACTTTCCACCAACTGGAGTCAGCAGGCATGTGATGAGATGTCAACCAGACTCAACAGAGAAAGGGTTCATGGGAGCTTGGGAGCAGAGCTCGTCATCCCAGCTGCTGCACACTGGGTTAGACAGGCCAGTAGTGGACATACTTATAATAGGAGTCAGGGTTGAGTAAGAAAGCCTCACTCTGGGAAGAAATTAAGATTAGCAGAGCTATGGACTATGTTAAATTCTGGAGCTTTAGCTGCCACTTTAGTAAGAGCTGTCTCTTACACAGCACTGAGCGTACTGTTGGGCTTAACCAAAGGCAATTAATGATAAAAACATTTTGCTGAATTAGTTTCCTAACAATTTAAGGAATTGCACGGGAATGAAACCTTCATGTTTCCCTCAATTGTTACATGGTATTTAGTCATGCAAAACTCTTCTTGAGCCAAGCTCCATGGTTTATCTTTGGGTCTTAGTCATTCACTGCTCAAGCAAATTCTTGGTGAAATCGACAGGACTTCTGCCTGAGCAAAAACTCTAAATCTTTTAGGAATTTCAGTGACATCCCCTCTGACTTCTCTTCCAAAATGAAACACAGCTGCTTGCTTCATTGTAGATCTGGACTTTGACCCAAGTAGGCTGGACAGACTGAAAATACATGATGCAGAGCTAGTCTGTGATAACCGTTTCACAAACAAAATAAATAGTTTACATTTTTTAATTACAGAAATGACATTTTGATTACACAGCATTTTTATCTACGCTTTCTCAGTTTTCATTAAAGAATGAAAATGACTTGGGATAGTTTGGCTGTTGAACAATTTTTCTGAACATCAGGAAAACTAATTCAAAAATCTCTCAGATAGATGAGGCATATTTTTTCCTACTTCTAACACTATTTTCTTTGCTTGAAAGCTACAGTGCACCTCAGACTGATGAAACTGTATGTGGACTTGTTTAGCAGTCAATTCAGACACTCGCTAAGCGAACATTTCCTCCCTAGAACAGCAATAGATGCTTTACTTCAAAAGAATCAGGGCTTGCCTACGCAAAAGTTGTTTTTCTTCAACTTGTAGAGCATTAAGTGAATTAAGGACCACAGATACCTGGCATTCTGTTTCAAAACAGAACTCTGGACTATTTTATCTCCCCCTGTGCTTGTAAAGTAGAAAAAAACCCCTGAAATTGCACAAGGAGGGAGGACAGCAAGTGGTACTCAAAGTGTACTCCTGCCCTTTCAGACCCTTGCAGATTATAAAGAGGACAGGCTGAAAGGGCTGTTATGTTGCAAAACATCATCATCGTCCTGCTCTGCTGAGATTCCATGCTTAAAAGAATATTTGACTTGGCAGCATTAACTTCAGTGCTCTGAAATTCCCGAGCATGCAGACTGTGCCCTGGTTACCTCCCATCTTGTGCAGGAATTTACAACCCTGCCTAGTAGACATAATACTCATAGCCACTGCAGCATTTTGCACATTTTTTTGCCCAGTATAATGAACATGACAATGCCTATCGCATGGACACTCAAGTAGTTAAGAAAGAGACTCATAGAATGCAAAGATCTAAAAAACTACACTGCTACACTGCTGTACCCGCTACACTGAAATGTATCTGGTCCTTTATCCTAAACTACTTAAAAATCCAGTTTTCAACTGTGCACATGTATTTTTTCCCAAAATGAGGTAAAGAATTCTTTCTCCCAAAGCAACAGTGGATACACGGAGCCAAGGAAACATACTTCAGAATCCTAAAAGCTACCAACAGAGCAGCTTAAAACTAGTAAATAATTTTTGTGCAGGAAAAAAAACCAGTAAGACATACTTTATGTGGCTCCTGCTGAGTGACACAGTCATCCTGTGCTTTGGTTATATGGAGAACATTCAGGCTTGGAAAGTAGCTACATGCCAAGCATTCAACAGCAAAGAGCATGCGCTTGGACTGATTTCATGCCTCCAGGCACATTTCAAGAAGTTATGCCTATAGCAAACTTGGTTTTTCTTCTGTAGTCTAGTGAAAAAGTTTGATGTTTTTGTTAAAAAGTAGCATGCCAACAGAAAAAAAAAAAAAGACTTGTGAAAACAAGGCTGATATTTTTTGTTGCCAGAACCAATTCTGTTTTTTAAGAGACGATATCACTGAAAGTTTTCAGACATTATCATTTCAAGGGATGACGAATTTTGGAATTGTATTAAATGCTTCACTGATGGAAGTGGAATTTTAGACTTGCAGAAAATAATAGCAAGGTTCATAGAAGACAACATCCCATTTTTCTGATGCTCCTAGAAGAAAGAGGTCAGATACTTACAAAGAACTCTGCCTGGAGTATGAAAGGATCCAGTGCTTTCTTGTGCAGTTCCTCTTCAGTAAGGATGTTTGACGCCGTCTGGAGGTATTCTCGGGCTGACTGTTCCCGTGGTGACATGACATAGCCAAAACCTTGCTCAGAACAGCCTGGGGTACACATATCCAGTGTGAGTGAAACATTTGAACCCCTCCTGCAAAACAGAGCGATCAGAGTTTGCTTACAGCAGAACAGACTGACCCATCATTGTCAGCAATGGGTACAGTCCCAATAACAGATAAACAGCAACTTTAGAAAACCACCCAGCTAGTTCTGCTGTGTACATTATGGTCACTCACTGTGAAAAATATGTGATGCTTCTTGTGTAGACAAGACCAGAAGATGATTTTGTACACCACAATATGATGGCCAACACTTTCAAAGTGTTGTCTGTAGTGAGGTAACCGTATACTTTGTCACCTAAATAGAAGCAACTTGCTTGTCAAAGGTGCTGAGCAGGCAACTGCAGGAAAGTTTTCATACCTGTGTAAATCATCATATTTTGGATGCCTGAATATGGATTGACATTTTAGACATCACAGGTGAAAATATTGGTCTCAGTTTTCATCATGCCAGATCCTACTGAAAAACCACTTAATATTAGCATAAGCAACATCAGTAGGGTAAGATCTTGGGATAAACATTGCCAGTTCAACATTGATAAAGACATGAGATGCAAACCATTACAGAGAATAATTTTTCTGTCTGAAAAACTTTCTTCCACAACAGTACCTCAACAAGAAGGGTAAAATGAAGGTCCCAACATTTTAACAGTTACATTAAAAACCAAGATGATGTTGACTGTAGAATTTTTAGTGGCTTTTATTTAATTTAGCCACACAATAAAATGAAAAAGTCAAAATGCCTGCATTGTTTATTGAATGCAGTTCTAAAGCATTTCTGAGCTTCTGTCAATCTCACATCTCACAGAAAAAAGCAAGATTCAAATGCCATCGGTGAATCTACATTTAAATACCTGTAACATAATAATAAAATCATACAATATGATGACTACTAGGTGTAAAGTTCTATGCATCCACCCAGTAAACCTATTTTTGATGACTCTCAACTGGTAAAATCTAGCTGGGAGGTGTTTGCAGGAGCTATTGAAAAAACATGCAAACATGCAGGCATGACTAGCTCACAAAGAAGACAGTAGAAGTTGTTACTTGGATCACAGCCCTTTTCTGGGATTCAGGAGTTTTTCCAAAAGAATGTGCAGCCAGCCTCCTGCTATGATTCACAGTCATGGGGAAATGATTTGGGATGAAACATGACCACTAGTGACAGACACTGAATCTTTAGTGACACCTTTCAAAAGATTTTGACCCTACCCTGTGTGCTGTTACATCACTACTACATTCCTCTCCAGGAATACATGCATTTGATAAAAAAATGCTTTTGGTTCTTTTAACGTAGAAGAGGCTACACACATAGATATAGTAATAGTTCTTCAGCATGAGGAAATGAGATTGTTTCTTCTTAAGAGAAATATTCAGTGCTGTTCGATTTTTGCTAGTGACTACCCTTCTATTGGAGTAGGCAGTTAAAGAATGAAAGGGTAGTAAGATGGAGAAGCAGAATGGATGCAAAAGAGGGATAGTTAGATAATTCAACACAACACCAACCAAAGGAAGAGCGACCAATGCTTGATGTAAATGAAATCTGACAGCACAGCCCAAACCTGAAATTATGTCTGGCTTCTCAAGCACACATGTATGTTGAAAACAAGTTTATTTTACATTCTAAGTGTACACATTCTACCTACTGTGAGCACTTCAAGCAATTGCTTTCTTTTTCCCATCTCTACTTCTTTGACAGTTTTTAAATTGTAATTAATTACTTGAATCAACCGATACTCCCTTGAAACAGCGAGTATCTTTCCTGTAGGCTAGCGGTCACCTGAGAAGAAACGTCAGCATCTTTAAAATGAGAGAGATGGAATGAAATCAGGGATGGTGATGCATTTCAAGCCTAACCTTGCCCATAATGAAAAACAATGGCAGCAGGTTCAGGGACAAGTCCCAGAGGTTACTGCAATCTCATATTTAAAGTAGAAGAATGTAACAATAAAAGGAAGGACATTTTAGGACAAATGTTGTAACCAAGAGTAAAGTGAGAAAAAACATTCTAAGTTCACAGAGTGCAAATTAAAAGCCTCTTCTGTAACATGTGTCATGTGGGGCTTTGGAAACTCAGCATCATATTTAAAAAAAAAAAAAAAAAAAATCTAAGCTTTGCCCTTTAAATGTTAGATATGAGAATTAACTATGGTTAGAAATCCAGTTAAGCTTGAAAATAAAGAAAGGCGATACTTTGCTATGTTGGGCCCTTCAGTAACCTCACTCTTACTCATAACATCGCCACCTTTGCAGAATTTCTTCACGGGATTTCTATCCTCAAGATCTTTGCTCTCCTTCACTATGACAATTGAAAGAAGACAAAACAGAAAAAGATGCAGGCTGCCAACAACATAAACTCAGGCTTCCTGTGGTCCACAGAAGAAAGGACAGGAACCTTAAACCAACCTCAGCCTCAGAGATGAGGATGCTAAGTCTGGGTACTTCCTTTCACTCATCCATTCTCTCACACACGGAGACACACTGGCAAAGTGAAATAAAATAATCTTATAGATGAAAGTATAAGGATAGTTCAGTCCAACGAACACTCAGTAATTCCACTGAACTCAGTAACTCTCTGTCCTGATTCACACAATCTGGAATTCACCCACCTCTGGGTCTTTCAAAGTTCACCCATTACAGGTGACCTTTTTCTGAGATGTATGAGTGAAGACGGAGAAATGCAACACAAATCAATACTGCATCATTCCTATCTTCCTTTTATATTTAAATCGCCTTTTCCCAGCTGTGAATCTTTCTGAGCAGCTCTGTTGCCCTACTGGTTTAAGGAGTGAACACCAGCTAGCCCCAAAGATTCATTACTAGGTTAATTTCAAAGGAATTCGTTTAGTTTTAGACTAACCCATTTATATGAGAATTACTGCAGATTACCATTTGTCCTACGGTTTGCTTTTGGAGAAAGGACTAATCCTCCAGCATGGGTGACAAAAAAAATGAACAAGATCCACCTCTTTCAGAGGTAAAAGCTTTCACCACCCTATAGTGGATTTCATGCCATGTAATTGTCATCTTGGGGAATGGCAAGAGACTGATCAAATACAAATGGATATTTCAAAGGAAATAAATGATGCTTTTCAGTAACACTTGTTGACAGCTGTCTAGAAACTAGGTTTTTTGGCTAATATGTTTATATTTATGACTGGACTGAAAACAAGACAGGAAATAAAGTAGGTGCTTGGCTTTAAAACCACATTTTAAAGCAACATTCATGAAGGCAATAAAGCTTTCTCCTAGGCACAGAACTCCTAAATCCACAAAATCCGGGACCAGACCTTCCCCTATTAATCACATCTACCCTACCTTTCTTGCAAGCCCACGGATTTAACCGTTAGAGTAGCTGGATCTGTCTCCGCTTTAATGTCCATTACGCAGTCAAAGACCGGAGTCTCCGGTACGGGATCCAAATCTAGGAAGTCATCCTCGTTTTTATCCTCTGTCCACTCTGAGTACGTGAATGAAGGCTGTCGGCTCACAGATTGGCGTCTGTCCTCTTGCAGCGGAAAGGGGGGGTCTGGTCGGGCTCTGAGTAGATGCCAAAACTGGAGGAAACAAACATTTAAAAAAACTTTCTGCTTGTTGCCAGCCCTTCCATACAGCCTAGAGGGTGGGTCTTTAGGGCAGCAACCCAGCTCACTATAATATATTCGAATTGGAGCATATTGAAGAGAACAGGAATGTTCCACACAGGAGAAGCTTTGTGGTACATGTTGCAAGGATTCACATCTACCCATTCAAACCTGCTTTCAGCCACAGAGTTTTCCACAGAGCTGGCCAGGCTTAACTTAGGGATGCAGTGGAAGCAGAATGTGCTTGTGACCATCATATGCAAGCCAACGTGACATAACTATCCTTTTGTTCAGTTTCTTACCCTGCATAGGCTGGTTTACAAAATAAAAATCTACTATACTATTCTACAAATCATACCTCTCCTGACTTAATGGTTTTCCATCTAAAATTTAGATATAGCTGGGCTAAGAAAAGTAAACAGTTTTCCTGAACTGCACATTTTTGATAATCTGGCACTGTACCCTGAATTCATGTATAAACCAATGATTTTTTTAAAGCAGCCTTGATTTTGATGCACCTGATGTTGAGGCCTAGAATGCCCATTTCAGTTTCTGTCCAGTAGCAAAGCATGTTTTATAATCTAATTATCTGATTTAAACATAGTATAGACATTAAATAATAAATCTTATGACGTTCTAGGACATAAATGTAACATTAAAATTTGTAATATAAAATAAAGAAGGTTTTGAAATGGCACAAATCTAAAAAATTACTGCATCATATTGGTTTGCATGGATGCTGAGGCTCAGGCCTCAGCTGAAAATTTCAAGTCTACCTCTGAATTCCAGGATCTGGAACCAACTTCATCCCCATTGAACTAGGAGCAGTATCATTCAGAATAAATGCTATACAAACTATATTGTACTGCCATGCATCCTTTTGAGACTACGAAGAACAGGTCGTATTTTCCAAACTAAAACCTCTTCCATCCTCTTCTTATATGGCTTTTAAATGGGCAGTTGAATTTAGGAAATGTGCCCAGATTTCTCTTCCTAGGCTACTAAAGGACATTAGCTTGTATAGGATTTTAAACAACTATTTTCTTGTGCCTGTGTGTCTTCATGTACTGTCATTTCTCTTAGAAAGAATAAAAGGAAGTGAAGCAAGTTTCAATTTGTGTCCATAGTCAGCTTTAGCAAATGTTAAGACTCTCACAAAGCAGCAGCATTCATCTGACAGTTACTTCACACAAAATGGTTTTTGTTTCACTTAATCAGAGTACACAGTAATTACAAACCCAAACATAGGAACATGATCACTAGACTTTTATTTTACACAAATCTGGGGCCAAATCTGAACTGAGTCTGTCCTACATACTGGGCCTGTTGGATGACAAGAAAGAAGCTTGAAGATCTGATTCTATTTTCATTCCCCAAGATGACTTCTGGAGCTTGGCAGTCCCACAGTAATAGCCATGGTTCTTTCACATACTGCAAGACTGTAATAGCTGAGGAGTTCACAGCGTAAAGTATCTGCTCAACAACTTCGTACTGCTGGAGAGTGCTGCTAGTGCTAAAATCAACACTTGTGCTGAGGGCCAAGTTGAAGGTCTAGGTTCCAATTATGTATTACAGATTCTAGAGCTGGTACAGTGACACAGGATTGATTTTACTGGTGATTTAACATACTGTAAATCCAAAGGAACAGAAAGTTCACTCTAGAAACAAAGCAGCTTTTCTTTCCATCTAAAGAGTGTGTTGTAAATAAGGAGCTGCCCAAGACACTGGAAGAAATTAAGTTACACTTAAAAGTGATGGGGTTAAACTAAGTAATGGAAAAATAGTCAGCTCTGAAAACCTTTTCAGGAGGACTAGACAGCTCTATGCTGGTTCCCTGCAGCTGCCTGGGTCTTAAAACACCATTATATGAGGCAGAAAACAGATAGCATCACTAATACAAGCACTCTATCCAGTCTTTTATTTTCACTGTGATTACTAACCTCCCAACACATTTTTGTACCAGGGTATTCTCAGAGAAGTGCCTCAAACCTTAGCTGAGGTCCAGTCTCCCAAAAAATTTACTCTACATATATTAGAGTCACAAATTCCCCGATACAGGAATCAGCTGGGCTTTAGCAAATGCAGAGACCAGACAGGGCCTCTCTTCTCTTGAATCACTTCTGAGAATCTGCTTGACCACCATTTCTCAGCCTCATTAGGTGGCCCAACAGTTATTGCTTTACATTAAAGCAACAAAGTACCTGTATGAAAACGCACATTTTCCCCTTGCCCATAGACATATTAAAACATTACTGTAAGTTACCATAGTTGCTGAATAAAAAAAATGCAGAAGCTGCTTTTCAGTGGTATGCAATCTAGTATATACATCAGTGTGGGATTGATATATCAGGTCCATCTATAAAGACAGAAGGGTACATTTGAGAAAGATAGATTTAATCATAAAGGCACTCTTTAACATAAAAGACCCCTTTCAACATCCCTTCTAGGCAGCATATCACTTAAAAGGCATGGAAAAAAATAAAGGGGGGGGGAGGGGGGAGGGAAGAGAGATGTCACTCAGCTGAGAAAGAGGGAAAAATAAAGAAAACTGGCTTCATGCAATGATCTGTTGTCAATCAGGCTGAGATTCTAGAAACCCATCTTAGCTCTATCACTACATTATTTTCAATGTTCTGCTAATTACTATTTTACACCTTATTCCCTATATGCTGATAGAAGCAGATGTTTTCAAATTGCACAGCAGCATGACCTGGGCTGCATCAAGAGAAGCGTGGCCAGCAGGTCAAGGGAGGCGATTCTGCCCCTCTGCTCTGCTCTTTTGAGACCCTACCTGGAGTACTGCATCCAGCTCTGGAGTCCTCAGCACAAGACAGACATGGAACTGTTGGATTGGGTTCAGAGGAAGGCTACAAAAATGATCCGAGGGCTGGAGCCTCTCATGAGGACAGGCTGAGAGAGTTGGGGTTGTTCAGCCTGGAGAAGAGAAGGCTCCAGGGAGACCTGATTGCAGCCTTTCAATACTTCAAGGGGGCTCATAAGAAAGATGGGGACAGAATTTTTAGTAGGGCCTGTAGGGAGAGGACAAGGGGTAATGGTTTGAAACTGAAAGAGGGTAGATTCAGACTAGATACAAGGAAAAAATGGTTTATGATGAGGGTGGTGAAACACTGGAACAAGTTGCCTGGAGGGGCTGTAGATGCCCTCCCACCACTGGAAACAGTCAAGGTCAGGTTGGACAGGGCTCTGATCACCCTGCTCTAGTTGAAGATGTCCCTGCTTATTGCAGGGGGGTTGGACTATATGACCTCTAAAGGTCCCTTCCAACCCAACCCATTCTATGATTCTATGTCAGAGAGTAAGGTAACAGGCAGGTAGTGTCCTGGTTTCAGCTGGAATAAGAGTTAATTTTCCTCCTAGTAGCTGGTATAGTCCCGAGTTTGGGATTTAGCATGAGAATAAGGTGATAAAACACTGATGTTTTAGTTGTTGCTAAGCAGTGCTTATACTAACTCAATGACTTTTCAGCTTCCCATGCTCTGCCAGCAAGGAGGTGCACAAGAAGCTGGGAGAGAGAGTAACA